CCATGTCCGTCTGTCTGTATGTCTGTCTGTCCGTCTGTCCGTCCGTGACCTCAAGTTTTCGTCGACGAGAAAATGCGCTCTCTGTCACTCACTGCAGTGAGTACTGAGTTATTTTTTTTTATTGAATAATGATCCATGATTCCTTTCAGATCTCAACTTAAATTATTCATTAACTGTTCCTATTTTAGTGGACAAATAATATTCGAGAAAGATCGAGAAATGCAGAGCGGCGAGTGAATATTGATGCCAATGTACATCCAAATACCGCGATCATCAAACGGAAGACGAACATTCTTCCTTTGAATGATTGTGATAGTTGACCGTCAGTCGTTATTTCAATGAACCAACCATCTGGTTCTTATTTCAACTGCCCCTTCCTTTTTAAAGACCGCGAAAAATAATGAAGTGCAAGTGTTATGAATTTATGCTAAAATAAATACTTCAATCTACTGCAAACTACATCATCCGAACGTAGTGCAATATAACAAAAACCTACATTTTTTATATTAAGCTAAAATAAAACCAGAAATTACTCTTTATACCGGATAAGTGTGGAAAGGTGCGAAAACCTGAGCGGTGTTAAAATTTGCAACTTTTTCTATTGCACTGAAATCATTAACTAAATAAGTAAGAAAACACAACGCCATACATACTCTTGCTTGTCTCCTAGCTGATCACTATGTCTCCTAGCATCACACTATGCAGGGACAAGCAGAACTTGTCCGACTCTGTCCTGTTCGGGGCCTGTACCGAGAAAAATTATTGGGTCCTCTCGTCCAAAAAATAACACGCTTTTCTACCCAAAGCAGGAGCAGGAGAGAGCGGATTTAGCACAGACAACGATACGCTCATATGGTGAACCAAGCTGTGTCAAGATGATTGCAAACACTCGAGTAGAAAGTGCATCGCCTTTTGGACGGACACTACAGAAATTTGGACAATCTTTTTTCTGAGTGTGCGATCGTGTAATTTATACTCGCTGTGACTGCATTTGAAATTTAGGGCAGTTGAAATTTTTGGCCTTCGATATTCATTACCAAGCCACTGCTAAACAAAAATTTGACTTTACCATTCTAAAAGAATTATAACGCATTAATTTAACAACAATTTTAAATTAGATGAAAAAGCAATACAATTAATCAATTAAGTTGATTCATTCCTTGAGTACGAGTAAATTACATGCTATAAAAATAGTGCAATAATTATTTCCAGAGCAAATGTGAAAAAAATATGGAGGGAATGTGGCAAATTACTCATGTTATGTACCATAGATCAATTGACATCGAAGTCTGAATAATTGACAACCCTCACAATGAATTTTGCATCATAGAAGTGAATCATGCAGTGACTCACTTCAACCTAAACTTATAAGTTGGCGTTGACTACGCTAATCCTGTCGCAATCTGCGTGTTTGATGTTCTACATCAACAACAACAAAATGAAGGTTCCCAGCCTTCCATCTCCCTACCACCGTATGTCACTCTCCGGGAACATACAATTATACGTAAACTATTGATTGTAGCAACCTGAGGACGTTTGTACGCAACAGAGAAATTTTAAAGTTGTCGTACGTGGATGCAACTATCAGTGCAAGTCATTTTGCGCTCACTAGAACGAATCCTGTTTGTGGGAGTAGGCTTGTGACAATATTGCTCCGGTTACTCATGTCAGGCGGTAGAGGGTTAAAGCTTGACGCCCATGTTTGCCGATACGGCCGGCGATGCAATAATGAGAACCCGTTCTTTTTATATTTTAGCATGTCAAAAACAAATTTGAAGATTACGCTGATCATTTCATAAGTCATTTTATATGTTGGCTCAGAGCATCATCAAATTTGTCTTCACTATTCGCTTATTGCGTTGTGGTCTGTCAATGTTTTGTACTGAATTATATTTAGAATATTTAGTGTACCTTCAATAATTGTTTGCGGATTAGAATGACCATGAGTATTTGATGTTCTAATAAACATGAATTTTAATCAACTTCTTTCATAAACATGTGCTTTTACGTACAAACGGGGAGTTTAAACCCCAGCTTCCTCTAAGCTCGTTTAAAGAACCATGATTTTTTTAATAGTCGAGACCGATTGAATTTTGATATCTTTTCGATTAGACAATGAACATTAATTGTGATGCAGGTAATACATTTAACGGAACATTATAGCGGAATAAACTAAGATATTTAAAATATATTCTACAGGGACCTCGTTCATCCTTATTTCAACATTGATGATGACGCATCAGTTACAAGTATTTGAGCATTAGGATATTGGAAGCAATGTTTCAAAAAGCTTTTGATAAATTGCATCAACTCGAATTTGTTTGCCCAACTCTGGGCGGAAAATAGGCATTGTTCTGAAGGTCAAGTCTTGATTCGCCGGATCATGTTTAGATCGAAGTGGAGTTCGAAGTTTCATCAGTCAATAAAAAGACGTTTTATATTGTTGGTGTTTATTCTTCCAAAGGACTGGAAAACCATTGAAATAACGTTGGAATGAAGAGAAAATACGAACTCTTCTTAAAAGAATCAATAAATATTTACAGTGAAGTCAATTGGATAGCTCACACATAAGGTGCTGAAAGCCTTGAAATAAACTCTTAATCATCGGACAGCACAAATACTTGTTCATTAAAAATTATTAGAAGGAAGTTAATTATGATTAAATTCAACTATGGCACAAAACTAACTTACATATGTTCATGATTAATATTGCCGGTATGTTGGTATTTTCTCTGTTCAAGGAATCAGATACATCCGTTAAAAAAGGTTCTTTGCACCAGATTCGCTAGAAATTTGATAGAATTGTCTTTGATAAAATTTTAAATAATCTCAGAGTGGAGCGAAGATTTACCTATATTTCAATCCAGCAGCATGTACAGTTTAGTTCTTTTTTTCCTTTTAGTTATAGGTTCATTTCCGCAATATTTTGTACTTTCCTTCTGGTTCTCCTCGACGCGATGCGAGTGAACCTCATGAATGTCGCCGTGTGATGATGTCTGGTCTTCCTGTAATTTTTTAAGTTTCTCTTGTAATCTTTGTGGTATCGCAAAAATAGAAACTTCTTCATTGCTGTGCACCAACTTGTGTCAAAAAGAAGGCAAATCTCGCTTGCTTGGCGACAAATTTAATAACGTCGTCCAAGGAATTCGGATTGGTCCGGCTTTCCTGTTCAAAATCTGCATTTCGTTATGGAGAAAATGAGGTTGTTATAGTGACACGATGTACAATGCCTGGGTTACTGTGACTAAAATGTATTTTAGCACCTATAAGTTTTTCTTGAATTTGAAATATCAATTCATCAAAGTTGGTTGATCTGTGCTGCCTAGAAGACGATCGGGATCACTCCGACTCTGCCCAAGCATATTCGTTTGGTCATTTTGTGGAAGTACAGGGACAACATAAGGGTTGTGGTCTTCTGCATTGCTGAATTCAGGAGTAGCTGAAAACGTCATAATTTCATGACTTGGGAATCCAGGATTGCTGTGGTGAAGAATAACACCACTGCTATTTTGGTCTTCTGGGATTTTTAATTTTTCACAATTGCTTTTCTGATCATCTAAGTTGTGATCACTGAATCGTAGAGCATTAGAATTTATCAAAAATGTTTTATCTGGGTTGCTGGGAACATTGGGCAAAAGATTACCATTCCATCCACTCTGGGCCTCCAAGTCAACTGCAGCATCGTTTACCAACGGAGTCGCAGCTCCTCTTGACTCAAAGGGCTGGGGATTGACATACCCTCGGTCGTTAAGAAGATCTTCTTGCACAAATCCTCCATCACCCAAGATTTGAGCGTCGAAAAGCGTTGGTGGATTTGAACGTGCCTGCCTGAACTCGGGAGAGCCATAACCTGCTTTTTGGACCTGCTGGATCAGAGTCTCTTCATAACCCGGTACCTGCAGCACAGGGCGTGATGGTTCAACTGAATTGGAATCGTAAACTTGAGGCTGAACACCAGCTTGAAAAGGTTTCGGCACAACCAAGACGGGTTTCAAAGTTGACGAAATTTCTTGCTTGGGAAAGCGATCGAAGGATGGAGTGTGACTCGGCTGCTTGAATGGCGATGCAGTGTCTATGTGCCCTTTGTGCATAATGCCCTCATGATGCTGGTAATTTGGTTTCATTTTCTGCTGGTTATTTAAGTTCAAATGTTGCTGGTAATTTTTGTTTGCTTGTTGCTCATAATTTGGGTTAACCTGTTGCTGCGAATTTAGGTTCACTTGTTGCCGGTAATTAGGGTTGACTTGTTGCTGGTAATAAGGGTTGACTTGTTGCTGGTAATTTGGGTTTGCTTGTTGGTGGTAATTTGGGTTCTTTTGTTGCTGGTAATTTGGGTTCACTTGTTGCTGGTCATTTGGGTTCAATTGTTGCTGGTAAGTTGGGTTCACTTGTTGGTAATTTGGATTCACTTGTTGGTAATTTGGATTCACTTGTTGCTGATAATTTGGATTCACTTGTTGCTGGTAATTTGGGTTCACTTGTTGGTAATTTGGATTCACATGTTGGTAATTTGGATTCACTTGTTGCTGGTAATTTCCCGACGATGCCAGCTGAGGACCCGACGATGCCAGCTGAGGCCCTGAAGATGCCAGCTGAGGACCCGACGATGCCAGCTGAGGCCCCGACGATGCTGTGTTGTCTTGCAGGCTCTCTTGATACAAGCGCTCGATCGTGGCGTGGTCATTCCTCAGGAACTCGTGGCTATTTCTGTAACTTATCCAGCGAGCAAACGTTTCCCCACATACCTCTGCCAAGAAGAAAACACTCATTTGCCTATTAAATCTTGAAATTAGTAGTTTCTTGTAAATCTACGCGATTAATTCATTTCTTATCTAGCAACACTAATATAATTATATTCATGAACAAAGTTAAGACTGATAGGCAAAGCGTTACCAATGGAGGTGCAAAAGCACGGTAATAACAAAAATTATTCATTCATTGTTTGTTGGAAGCTCTAAAGAATTTAGGGGGTAAATTTTTCTCAATATTATTTTACGCACGCCCTGTGGGAAGCTTGCAGGTCTCAGTTTTCGGGTCAAAGTATCGCTCTGCAGGACATTGCGTTGCTTCAGAATAAAGCGTATTGGTTGCTGGGTTAAGCCGACAGGTGTAGTATTGCGTACAGCGAGTCTCAACTCCCTGCAAAAAGGCTGAGTTTCATAAAAATCTTATTTCGTAGATATCAAGTGCCTTTAGCATTTAACTATGCAGTATCTAAGTTATTGTTATTTCTTATTTAAATTTAAATACTAATTTAATAAATGACTTCCTTCAGTCGTTTCTTATTCAAATGTCTCATTATGATCCAGTCTCAACGAAGCGACAAGTTGGAAATATATTTATCATTTATTTGAGTTAATATATCCATTATTTACCGTAATTTGAGTCGTACAAAAATTGAAGCGATTTAATCACGCTCATTTTTCATGCTTGGTACTCTACCGAATTAACAAAAATGTTAATCGCTCTTGAAATGATTATTGTTTAAAAATTGCGTTTATACCTGAAATATTCCTTCAATACACAGCGGAATGTTCTTGCAGTGAACTCGAGTCCCTTCAGGGGTCAGCTTGGGGATCTGCTGGTTACGAAAACACGGCTGATGGAGGCGGAAGACAACGATTGTAGTAGATGGTGTAGAAGGAGTGGTGGAGATGGTGCTCGTGTTGAGGTAGTTTACAGGTGTTGGAGTAGTGGCGGAGATGGTGCTCGTGTTGGAGTAGTTTGCAGGTGTTGGAGTAGTGGCGGATATGGTGCTCGTGTTGGAGTCGTTTGCAGGTGTTGGATGAGTGGTGGATATGGTGCTCGTGTTGGAGTAGTTTGCAGGTGTTGTTGGTGGAACAGTTGTTGGTGGTTCAGCCGCTTGTGGTTCAGTCGTTAGTGGTTCACTCGTTGATGTAACCGTAGTTTCTGAAGCAGGAGTGGATTGAGCAATTGTCAATGTGGGGTCAGTTGAAATTCTTGGAGTGGTCGTTTCTCCAAAGTTTCGACACGGCGTCGCTGGAACTGGTAGACGAGATACTTCGATGAGATGTTGACGTCATTAAAAATAAAATGTATCGTTCTATTCATTATAAAATCCTAAGAAGTCATCCATCACATTTCTCTATATTATTTCTTGCCAATGTTTGAAATTAAATTTTGCTAATGAATACTACACCGCCATGTGATGATTTACCCAGAAAAATTATTGGGTTATTTTGTTCAAATTGTGACACATTTTCTTCTCGTAGCACTAATATAACTTTTTGCCGGGCCAAACTTTGCCAAGATTATGTTTAGAAGGTCAAAAAGTGCATAGTTAATTGGACAAAGTCTCCCTAATTTCTCCGAGTGTTGCAGTGAGCAAACCATAGCTTCTCTTGTTCATTTGAGTGTTGACGATTATCTCGTTTAGGGCATGCATGTAAAATCGACCACACAACGAGAGGTTACTGTGAAATCTATTCAGATATGTTATTAAATGTGCACACAAAGATTTGTTACCATCAAATTTAGTCTCATACATGATTACTCACAATAGTAGGAAGAAAGGCAGGTTTGAAGTTGGAACGAAAAGAATGTCGACTCGGAACATTCTCTGAGGAAGAGTTGCAAGTCGCTTGAAAATGGTGAATAGTCGCAAATAAAATATTTGCGGCAGCGTTGTGTGGTTTCCTGTGAAATAAAAATTTTGACTTTAAAGTTTTGTGGACGAACACCTTTACAAAATTTGTTAGCACTTTCTTTTCAAATGTGAAATAATCAAGATATTTTGAAAATTCTTGCATTGAATTTTGCAGCCTGCTGGTTTTCTATTACAGAGTGAAACTTCGGTCATGTTTGAAATTTCAGTTTTTATACTCGTTCATGTCCTTACTAGTATTCACATGCGAAATCAAAAATTATTTAAACAACTTAGGTCTCGAAAAAAAAACAATCATTCTATTGCAAACGTATCAATTTTTCCCTTTATCTACCATCTGAGCAAAAAAAAAAAAACTAACTGAGCGAAGAAGCTTTTCCCACATCACCAGAAGATAATTATTTTATCTTAGGGAAAATAACAATTTTATCTGAAGAATAATAAAAATTTATCTAAAGGTAAGAAAAAAATTTATATAAAGATGAGATAACAATTTTATCTAAAGATAAGATTATAATTTTATCTAAATCCCTCACGATTCCGTGGTTGTGCTGGATGCAAGTAATTTCGTCGGAGCACTGCAAGTCTATGTGCCCAGTCGCGTTGGGCACGAGCCCCGCGTGGGGGCATTGGAACTGCGCGATGTAGTCGTGGACATCAGCGCTCGGGGGGAGAGTGGGGGGAACCTCAGCGGGTGTTGTGGGGGTAACGGGGATGGTTTCGGTTATGGTATCGGGGGTTGGTGCGATGGTTGAGGAGTCCGTGGGTTCGGGACCAGGCGTCACAAGATCAGGGAAACTCCCATTGGGGAAGTTGATGTGAATGCAAGGGGAGTAGAAGCCACCTAGAATATATCAAAGGAACCATAATAAACTAGAATGTTCGTACCGTAAACTTTTACGAGATGAAACTATTTGTTATTTGACTTCAATAAAAGACTATAAAACCATTGCGAAACTAATTTTATTTAAGGTTTGAACTTTGCACAATATATCAAGCGGTAGCCGAGAAAGAGAGCTGATCATTCAGAATTAATAAAAAAAACTTTCTAATGAAAAATGATGATAAACTAAACACCTGTCTCGTATCATATTCAGTGAAATACATCTTTACTCTGGCATAAGTTGTACTTAGGCTTTCGTCTACGCTGTATGTATGTTGTATGTTCTATCCACAAGGTGCAGTTCTGATCCAAATAACATTAAAGTAAAAAAATATTCATCTATATGGGAATGGCCGTTGTCCCTTTCCGCACCTGCTGGTTGTCCGTCCAAGTCAAGGCTGCCGAGCTGCCTCTGCGTGGGCACCGCCACACATCTGCTCAAGCTTGGCACGAAGACCGCGTCGCGTTCACACACCCGTCTCCTCGGGGTGCCTTGGCCGCACATGAAGTCGCTCGTGCAGCCCAGGAAACTTGCTAAAGTTTCACATGCGGTGTACACGCTGCAGTGCTCTGATTCTTGGGTGCACTGCACATTGTCGTGGACGATCAAGTCCGACCCGGGGCATTGGTTCTCAGCTGCAACAATCAATTGGTATGATGTTAACTTGAGCCATGTTTAAGTCTACTCTGGGGCATCGGTTCTTATAGCTGCAACAATGGTTTTGATGTGAACTTCAGTCATGATCAAGTCCGCTCCTGGGCATCGGTTCTCAGCTGCAATAATGAATTGGTATTATGTTACTTTCAGTTTCGATTTAGTCGTACCCAGGTAAATGACTCTCAGCTCTCAACATGAACAGAGAAGACTTAAATATGTATATTGGATGAAGTTGGTGTACCGATTAGCATGGTTTTTGGACACAATTACTTAAGACCAGTTTTGGATTTTAAAAATTCGTTTTCAGTGGCAGTAGAGGCATATCAATGCCACAATGCTGAGCCTAGCCTCAGGATAACGCATCAGCAAGTCTCGGTGTGAAAGCATGCTAGAACGCCGTCACGCGCAAGACCGCACTCCACTTCGTATGCCTTTTTTAGTTTAAGCACGGTACAGGTGGCATGCTAGCCTGTAAAGTCAAGTGCTTAAAGCTTTAAAGCCTCATGTCCACAGCCGCATCTTAAGTATGCTCAAGTTTAGCATGGTAATATCCTCATTTAGCCTTAATTACTCTGGCCTAACCTTCTTAAGTTGCTCGCCCTGACTCTCCATCCAAACCAACCCGCGCGAATTTAACCTTACCCTATAGAATGCGGGAGGGTGAAGATGCTTGGCACGTGAGCAAGTTGCGGTGGTCCGTTTCCACTACGGGACTGATTCTGAAGGATTGAGACTGGCCTGAGACCAATAAGCCACATGGCTGGGCCTGAAAACTGGCGTGCGCGTTTCCACCACACGCGTGTGCTGGGACTTAGACTGACCGTCTAGGCTACCGCACTCGCTGGTCTTCGAAGATAGATTATGCTGCCGCTCTTGCTTTACTAGCTGTTGTCACTATGCGCAGGAGGAAACAAAGATCTATTTACCTAATAGCAGTTATGAAACGCAAGAATGGTTTCAAACTTCTAATTAACATAGTTTATCTGTGTAATAACATGCATTCACCATGGGATTAAGTACCAATCTCAAAAATAATCCACATATATGTACAAAAAAGACTGATTTTTATATGTATATGTGGATAATTTCCTAGATTGGAAGATTAAAGTTAAATTATACCTTTAATGTGTCGAGAAAATTAAATGTAATAAATACGTCACAATGTTTAACCATGTCTGGTTTTTGACCTAGAGATTTAGATAGGTATCATAGCGTGCTTCACAAATGCTACTACTATTATTGGTTATTGTGTTTATTTAGTACTATTTACTGAGTATACATACACTGTAAGTACAATAAGATAATTGAGATTTTTTAATTGACGGACGAGTGAATCCATGTCAATAAACAGATGAAATCGGTTAATAAGAAGTTAGGAAGTATTATTTCCATTTTTCCATGTTCGTGGATGGATATAATTTCTCCATTTCTTTACTTATTTTCTCTAATTCTTAAGATTCTGTCTCTGTAAAAAGAGCTTTTTACTTGCCAGGCCTCTCTATATAAATCGATAAGCCTTTCAGTGACATCTCTGCTTCAGTCTCCGTCGTGCGACATGATCAGGCAAATAGGCAGGCAAAGGCGACATAGGCGACAGCCCAGCGCAATACCTACTTGAACGAAAGTCACAGCGACACTGCCCCGTGCCCGTCACGCAACTCACGCAAGTCCAGTGAAAGATTGAACAGGGCTTGAATGCCCGTCGCGCCAGTCTCGATGGTCAGGACTGCCTCAGTCCGAACTGAAAAAGCCAGTTTTTCAGGCGTCTGTCTCGCAGAGTCTCATTGTGGAAACGGGCCTTTATAGTCTGCATGAATTGAGAGGCGGAGCAACGTCAAAAGGCAAGGACAGAGTAAGTCTAAGTAAAGCCAGATGGTCTTTAGTTCATATTAATATCCGCGGTCCATCGAGCCAAAGTAATGGATATTATTTAAGCATAAGAACTCAAGTGCTTGAAGGAATAGCGACCCAATTCTACAGCAACTGATTAAGCCCGTCTTGTCTGTATGGATGTTCAACCTCCAAAATAGCCCTACTTAATTACTTCTACCCTTGCCACGACTGTCCACCAAAATAAACTTAGCTGAACCTAACCGATTCGCATTATTGACTGCAGCAAGTATGTATTGGAGTATGTGGGGAGGTAGATCCATGCAGGGATTGTACATGTAAAAAACGAAACTAACTTGGGCAGTAGCTATGGACTTACGGAGCAATTGCTTAAGCCATTCCGGTGCGGGTGTGGTTTGCGATGTTTGTAGCGTTGTCTGCTCTCGGCCACTTTGTCTAAGCTCTGAGTTAAGTTTAGCTGTGCGAGTTTAAGCTGCACGTTTGCTTCAGCATTAATTTAAGAGCTAAATTAGTGGCCAACGGATTCGTATTCCGCAATGGTGTGATCTGCGGCTTCCAGCTCTGAGGTTGAATGATGAGCCTGGGCATTGGCTCCAGGGTCGCAATAAGAGTCAAATTTTTGGCCACGGCTACGCCCCGCTGAAAACTTTGGCATTCAAGGCGGGAAAAATTAGCAAATCTGGTAACAACATAAATCATTGGTCAGGTCCTGCAGCATCAATAGCAAATTAATTAAAGAACTAGAGAAAACGATTCGGGTTCTTGATTCAGCCTAATACAGGAAGTGATATTTTTTCCCTGGAGGTTCGAATTGTTTCGAAGAGTTCGAAGAAGAGATCGAGATCAAAACCCAGTACTCACGTGTCACAGGAGCCATGCAGTTGCCATCGTACACATTGAAGAGTTGATTTTCGGGACATTTATTTGTCCTGCTGGTGAGACCGGACAAATCATAGCAATACCTCGTGACGTAGCACAGCCTGTACACCTGAAAAATTCAAGAAAATTCCTTGAATATTGCTGCTGATATTGCCAGCCGGGCTATAGCGGAGCTTAGCCGGAGGCCGGCTTAGCCTGATTTTACACTAAAGTTCATATTCCTTTCCGTTGTTGAGCACATTAAACAGCTAATGAAATCAAGTGCTTCAAGCCACTGCTTCTTATATTCACAGCAGCCAAAGCCTAGGCAAGTTCAAGTTAGGTATGGTCAATGGCCTAACTGCATCTTGCCTGACCTACACCGGCCTAACCTCCTCTGGATAGACCTACTTACGTTGCAAAATTTATTCTATTTTTAACCACGCAAGAAAACCTGAGCAGACCTAACCTACTATGTGTGGGGGCTAGTTATTAGATTATTTTTAGTTGCAATGAAGAGCATTATTCAAGTGTTTTTTCATACAATTGTTTTCAAATAATCATCATTGTTGTTGTGGACGTGCGGTAACCGCGGCAGTCGCTAACTTCGTCCCCATTCAAATAATAAACTGTCTTAAACAGTAGTCAGCAATAATTGATCTGACACCGCACCTGCGCAGGACGGCCAGGCAGACAGGCGCGGTAGTCGCGACAGTCCCTGACTTGGTCCTCACATTTGACGCCGAAGTCGCTGACGGGACGATGGGTGGACGTGGTGGTCTGACAGAGGTCTTGCTCTGCCAGGGTAGAAAATTCCATGAAGTTTTAGCTACGAATGGAGTTTTTAACTTGAATTTCTGACATAAAGTGTGAAGGTGGTTTTGTACCTAAAATTCTAGTCCAAAGATTACTTTTAAACGATAACTAACTAATGCAAATTGTACAATTTACAGTTAGGTGTTTTATTTCTGAAAAGTGTACAAAATGTGAATTGCTTGTAATTACAGAATAACCGCACACAATAGCCACTCGTGATCAAAGAGTCACGGGTGCAAATAACTAATGGAAATAACTGGTTACCTGACGACGTACGGGCACGGCACTTTTAAACACAAACGCAACAGTGGCCTTATTCACTAGTTCAAACACAACAGTTTGACTATCTAGTAAATAGTTTAAACTCAATCAAAACAAATTGAGTCGTTTTCTAGCTTTAAGCTAACTAGGTTGTTTTAAACCTAACGCAATAGGTTGTTTTTAAACCTTTTCACGAGGAAGTTGAGAAATTCCACCCACGCTAACCCTTCCCGTTGCTGCTCTGAGAGCTGCGTAGCCCATAGTCGGAACTAGTATAAGGTAGACTCATGAGAAGCTCATTTTCGCGAACGGAGCTTGTTTTTAGCATGATCACTGATCTCAATGACGTCACTGATCTCAATGACATCACGGGCATTAACCAATCACCGAAATGCGTTCAAACCAGTCAACCAATCCGTCATCGGAATGACGGGTTTGTTTACGTTTCTCGATCTACGTGACGTAACATGAAAGCTGAACTAAAAGGCGGAACTTCTCGTGGGTCAACCTTATATAGTTCAACAATGGCGTAGCCTGCGGAGACTTATTTCTCCTCCGACATCATAGGACGGCTTAATAATTATTTACGTAGAAACAGAAATAATTCCTAGTAATGATTTTGCCATAGAGTTTTGTTTGTAATTTGCATGAGATAGTCCATATGTTTTTATTCGTGTATTAATTTCATTTATTTTTTTTAATGTTGACAATGTTGTTGACTAATCAGGCAAAATATTTGAATCATATATGATGTTTGACTTTGAAGGCAGGAAGTCTTTTTAAAATTGATGAGAATTATTGAAAATTTCGGCATCTAGTGATTGGTTTTTAATATGAATTTTGTTCATAAAGAAATTCAAGGTTATATTAAAATGAGATAATTTCCTAATTCATGCATTATAGGTGCACCAACGAGCTTTTTTGTAAGCAGGAATGAAAAAGAAGAAGAACAAGTAAGTTACGATGTGAACGTATAGACTCATTTCCGTAGAAATTTAGTATGTATATTTGTTTAATCAAATTAAATATTTATTCCATTTTCAATTCGTAAATGTTTAGATATACTGTATGCTCGTTGTTTCAAACTGAGGTTTGGAAGGCACACCAAAAAAATGACTTCCAAAGTCATTTTTCTCGACTGAATATCGTTTTGTGCAAAATTATCTGTCTTTAATCCCTAAAAACTTAGAAAAATAAGTCAGTTGAAGTAAATTTGAATTTTTTCTCAAAAAGAAGAGCGTTGTTATGACAAATATTACGAGTTATGTTGTTATAGAAAAAGCATTTTCCACATGCTTCATTAAGCTTAAATATCTGGACTTGTTTTGTGTTGTAAAATAAGAAAACGGAAACTGTTGGTTGTTGGGAGGATAGCCAGAGAGTCAGTTGGAAGAGACACGTGGCGCCGAATACAGAGATTACTATAGCATCTACGCTAGCCTTTTACGTGTCCAGGGTCCGAACTATTTACTTAATAAGCTATAGTCCTAACGAACTTCCGTTGTACCGATTTGTGATTAATTGTATTAACCTACTTCCTGAATAAAGTTATTGAACTTAAACGTCTACAAGTGCCCTTTTTAAACTCGTGGTTATAGAATCAACACTTAGACAACGCAATCGGCTAAAGAACGATCACTATAGGCCTATATGCGGTGCCTCAGCTGATGCCCGACAATGTGTATTGAAAGAAACCCATATTAATGAAATAAAATCTACTAAGAAATATATACACATATAAACAGGGCATTTCTGATGCATGAAACATCAAAATAGCATCTAAAACTCTAGATAATTTTTTTGCACTAAATCAAAATAAATTGTCCGCACCTTGAATACATTCGTTGTTAGCCACATCATAGACGTAGCCCGCGCTGCAGAGCTCCACGTTCGGAGCGCCAAGGCAAATCTGGAGCCCCCGAGAGCAGATCTCCGTTGTGTACACAAACGACGAGCCTGGAACAACATTAGGTGCAGGGTCAGACGTGTGAAAACACACGGTGTATTTTTATCCAGTGCTAGCAGAATTTGATGTGTTTTCTAGAGACTTGATGACGCGTGTTTCTGTTAGCGTTCGTTCATTATAAAGCTGTTTTTTAAATATAATTATTAACTACCCTCTCATTGTCTGCAAAGTTTTTATGGGAACTTTCCAGTGATCATTTGTTATCAATCTGTTTGAAAAACTTTAATACAATATGTATATTAAAAATAAAGTCAATCCTTATTTCTCGGAGAAATTCGTTCTTTGTGTGATCTAGTTTTCAATTGATCTAAATTTTGCGTAGAATTTCGATTGATTGATTCAGATCAATCTAAGACCAGATCTTCAATATTGATCAATGTCCACAGAAATAATTTCATTCTTGTCTAATAATAATTTCATCTTTCATTCTTGGTTATGAAAAAATTTTAATTACTAAATTTTTCGATCAAGAATATGATTGATTTCGATTCCCTCACCGACGGCGGAAGGAGCGCAGACGTTTTGCTGGCGGCAGCCGCTGAGTTGGGTCCTGCAGTTGTGGCTTGGCTGCGGGGCTTCCACCAAACAGTTGTTGGCAGGGCCCGGGAACACGCACTGGTCCAGCGTGTCGGAAAACATCGTGCCGGGCCCACACTCAAAGTACGCGCGCCAGAAGTGCCCGGATTCGTACGTGTCGTAACAGCTGTTGAGTACATTAGTAAAACGAAATTAATATATTAATTAGCAGAAAAAAATGGAGTATAAACGGTGTCACCGCGGATATTTCATTCTTTTATTTTAGTTGCTGCCATGGTTAGTTTAGAGTCGCCTGATGTAGTTGACTATGGGTTTATTTTCGTATTCGTAGCCGTGAGTTTCGTTGCATCTACCACGAACACTCTAAAATAAATTAGGTAAAATTAAATTTCTAATATATATTCGAAATTTAGAAATGGAATTGCAACATCCGGAAGGTTCAAGGTTAAAATCGTAGGAAACTTCTATATTGAACGGAAATCACTTTTGAAATGCTCACCGAAATAACTTTAGTCTAGGACTCACCGGTAGAACCGGCGGCAGTCTCGGGGGTGGGGGACTTTTGTCTAGGACTCACCGGTAGAACCAGCGGCAGTCTCGGGGGTGGGGGACTTTTGTCTAGGACTCACCGGTAGAACCAGCGGCAGTCTCGAGGGTTGGGACTTTTGTCTAGGACTCACCGGTAGAACCAGCGGCAGTCTCGAGGGTGTGGGGACTTTTGTCTAGGACTCACCGGTAGAACCAGCGGCAGTCTCGGGGGTGAGGGAACACCCCAACGTACGGGCACGGCACAAGAGGACTCACAATCACGTCCGGGTACCGAAAATCTGAATAAAGCGATACATACATTCCCATTAATGTTCGTAAATGAAAGAATATGATTTAATTAACTACTTTATGGAGTTGTTATAATATATAATTTCGTTGTTAGCAGTAAAGAGAGGGTTTAACGTTTGAAGCTCTTTGAATTCCGATGGCAAGACGTATTATAAGTTTTATAAAAGATCATCGTTCATGATACATACACGTGATAGAATTTTGAAAAAAACTACAAACTGACTGAAATGTTCTCATATAAAAATCTTCGATGGATAGAAATTTAGTTGTTATAATTAGTATATTGTAGAGATCTTAAATTAAACAGTATTTTTTGTTAGGTATAGGCTTTTATTGGATAAATATGTTGTCAAGTTAGAATTAGGATTAGAAGTCTTGAATTGTAGAATTGAAAGAATGTACTGTAACTGTGATGGGAAATTGCGTATAGGAAATGGTAGCAGTAGGAACGCGCTCGTGAAATTAAGCAGCATCTTAATTGTGGTTCGTAAGCCTGTCCCTCGGGCTGCAGTTAGTAGATGCCCATATTGTGTGCTAAAGTCTCGTCTGTGAAGAAAACTTTTAATGTAAATGTGACGTTTTGTGCAATAAAGTATTTTACTGGGACCGTAATTTAAATGAACATTGAACCTGCCACTATACGCACGACAGTATTATCTGGAGCATCGAAAAAAGCCACGCTACTAAAATTGACTTTAATGGAACTCATTAACGAATTCTGAAAATTTCCATCAAGACTTATATTAAATTTTAATTTCAGAAGATTCCAATCAATATTCGTTTATTGAGGCTAAGGTCTTTTATTGCGGCTTGTCCTATAGTGTACGTTGTTAATCAAAGACACTTGTTCATTACCGCGTACGAGTCTGAACTTGCGAAGAAAGATTGTCGAATTGTAACCTGGGCCCATACTTTAAAAAAAAGTTTAAGAGATCGTAAGTTCATCAGTCAATCATTGACGACCTTTCAAGCAAAATCTACCAATCATAGATGAGAAAAAGAGCGTAAGTGCTTACGTTCACATAGCGAATTTTGAAACTATGGTCCCAGCGTTGCCAGCGAGCTGGAGACTTAGAAATGCCAGTATATAATGCAGTCTGGAGACGCGCGTACCATGTAGCGCGCTTTGATGGCTACAGCAGCTGCGAAATTTTGCAATGTATATCGCCCTTCAACTACGGACGCGTACGCCAGATTAAGTATGTTTTTTTCAGATATCTGGAAAAATTTTTTTATTCCGACAATTAAACAATTAATTAAATTAAATTAACAATCAAACTAGGTATATTATATCGCTAATTAATCTTTGTAAATATCAATGCTTGTATTAGTGCTTTGCTAAAATGTTTCAATCTTTTGACCATCTATATACCATCTAATTTTTAAGTATTAAAAAATTTCCAGTGAATATACATAAAAAAATCTGATCTGAGACCAATCCGATGCAAAACCTTGCGCAAGGCTCAGTTGATATTATACAACAATGACCTAAGCCGCTTGGTGAAAGGCGACTAAATTATACAAGCTGTGCCATTTGTGGAACAAATAATTTAGACCTTAAGGAAATTGTCGTGAATAAATAGTAGGCACCGCTTACAATATGCGACACAACGCTGCTGCATTCACACCTCTGTGTCAAGTCACGCTGATGTGAATTCCTGCGATAGCTGAGAAGATAAGAGCCTGCCAACTACAACTCACTCAATCCATTATTATCAATACTGTTGACTTCTCTCATTATTTAACACGTCATTCAGGACTCAAGTTCTAGTCAATCAGGCTTCTAATCCTTATCGTTCACAGATCAGGAATATAAATTGTTACATAAGGTTTGCCAACCGCACTCGGCACCGTAAAGGGTTAGGTCTATGCAACACACAGAAAATAATGGGTCATATTGTTTAAATTGTGGCACAAAGGCACGCTATTTTGGCGGGCCCAAATGGGTCAAGATGACCCACACAAGAGCAAAAAGTGCACCGTGATTTTGACAATATCTGACTAATTCCCTTGACTGATCTATTATCCGCAGCGTCAGCCTAGCTTTAATTTCAGACACCGAGTGCTCGAACGTAGTTCCTTCTATCTTTTAATGTTCGAATCGAATTTTTATTGTTTCTAACAGACAATTGGTGCCACATATACCGCCAAATAATTATTGTATTCACTTATTCTTTGAAAATCGTATTTGACGTTGCCTCGCCTTTTAAAAGGAGTCCTCTGGTAATTTAGTTATGGCAATAAACCATTATTTGAATGCAATCGAGAACCTTGAAGGTCCATTTCGATTATTTTTCCTCAAATTCGAGAACTCCTATTGAAATTAACATGTTGCATGCACAACGTGAAATATTCATGTTATTTTTCAATGATACTTCGTGTCACTGACCTATGGTCCCCGCCGAGCCGTTGGGGGCTACTTGGGCCGACGCGGGCGCTGTGAGGAGCGTGAAGCACATGAGACCGAACAAGAACAATTCCTGTAGGAGAGATCAGAAGCAAGGATGTCATTCTTGTCTTAATATATTAAGTAGAATAAGATGAGTGTCTTTATGTGATGACTTCATCCCTGTTTTCTATTGTCAATATATTAATAATAGATTTAGTGTCTTAATGTGCTGATTAAAAAGATAATAGGATGAGTGTCTTAGTGTGGAGACGTCATCCCTGTTTTTAGTTTACAATCGATTTAATTGAGAAATATAGTATAAGTGTCTCAACGTTTTTACTCATAGAAGAAAGCGAGGCAATTCACCGATTATGCAAAATAATCTTCTTAACCCGTGGCCTTCGGTGATGTCATTATCAGATAATTACATCCACGATTGTCATGCCCAGGGCAATCCATAAATCTTCGCCAACATTAAGCACAAAAATCAAAGTGGGAGAGCCTGTCTTTAAATCCAGAGGATTAGTTCTGTAAGGAGATTATTACTGAGAACGTAAGTAGTTTATACTGACAAGACGATTAATTATTTACAGACTATACGACTACAAATAATCAACAGAAGGACAATAGATGATTTACTGGTTAGAGTGTATAAATATATTACCAAAAAGACAATAAATACAATATCAAGGACAAAACTGTAAGTAGCTTGTTGACAAGACTACATTATTTACTGACAAGATGTTAAGTAGTTTACTGATAAGACAGTAAATAATTAATTGATAAGACGGTAAACATTTTACCGATAATAGAGATATGATTTCCCTCATAATAGGAAACTAAAGATATATTGTACGTGCAATATAATTATACGGTTTTGTACCGTGGTTTCTCTGAAGTAAGATTTCAATGTGTTGATATTAAAGCTTTTAAATAGTTCTATGAAATTAAATATTACATCACTATATTTAGAGCAATGTAATTGATTATTGTTTTAGAATCTCTAATATTACACTCGCGTGTCCTCAATCGATTTAAGAAAATAAAATAACAAAAGAGAATGATAAATGGCAGATTAGCAAATACTTCTGATTATCCAATGATAAATTGAAATAAACATTGAAATATATTATAATACGTGTGTTCATATATGTCAAATTCTACCAATTTGCTTGAGTGAATAGAAAGGAAATAGGAATGAACGAACTTACTTGTGGATGTCGGATAATGGCGTACAATTAATTTGATGGAGGCCATCGAAATAAGCTCATCAATAGGTAAAATAAGAAAAAAAATGAAATGTGGAATACAATATATGTTGAGTTCCCATTTAAATTAGAAGCAAGTCATATGAATGCAAAAGAATTCGAGCAAATGACCTAGCTGTACCCGTCTCCTGGGCATGTATCGTAAACATTAAATCGTATCTTTTTCGATAGCAAATGACTCGATAAATCGATTATGACAAAACATATTGTATCGAAGCTTATGTAGTATTTTTTTAGATTTATTTGTATTTCAGGCACAACATTTATTTAAAATTTAATAATAATTTAAGTGAATTGACTTACCTTTGATATCATGACGACTTGTTTCTTGTTAGACGTTAATTAAGGAAACGTCCTATAATGCAGTACCTGTGTTGTTCTTCCAGCGGCTGCTATGATGGTCAAGGTCAACTTTCGATTATATAATTCCAGACCATGCGACCAGAACAGAATCGCCACGCTGGAGTTTTCTTTGCTTTTTATTGCCTGTTTAACTCACGATTTAAGCAGACTAACGATATTAATTCAATGATATAATTGTCATTGAACCTGGTGAACTGATCCAGGAAAACAATCCAGTACAAGTGGCAAAGGCCTTTGAACTTTCTTTCGTCAATATCGCTGTGTACGTCAGCGCCTTATATGGTATGCCGTTAAAAATTAGTGTCAAATATACGGCAGTGATCTATTTCAATTCTCTAAATTCGACTAGGCTTCGATACTTTTTACCCTGCGAGACAGCAAAAAATTAAATGAAGATAATTTCAACACTTACAATTGGCAGCTCTAAAGCATGGGCATTTGCTTCACGAAACCAATACTTAATTTATATTGCCGCGAGATACCTTCATTTTATTATTATATAATTAAAATTTTATTATAATTTAAAGTATGAAAACTGTTCAAATCTTCTGTCGCACATCATGGAACAGCAACTATGGATTTCTTTCGTACGAGTAGCTTCTCTTTGACTAGTCCAATCCCATCTTTTAACCAACTAAAAACTTACGTCATCTCTTCCGTCAAATAAACCCAAACATTATGCTTTTTTATAACAGAATTCTAACCCAACCTCATTTCTTCCAAACAACACGTCTGAGGCTCTCGAATGCAAGTTCCGTATGCCGGAGCGGTGTTGGCCGCAATGCCTGCAGTCCGGTCCGGGCTTTGCTATATATGCGGACCGCCGGTCAACGAGCCCCGAATAACGGTTATCGCATCCTGGGTAACCGGTACTTGCAGCTGGTCCGCCATTTTTGTCCCTTTCTTCGGAAACCAGTGAAAAACAAAAATTACCTTTTCAATTTAACCCTTGTTTCAAATTTGTGCAATTCCCTATATCATTTTTTTGCGGCTGCAGATATATTCATTCTCATCTCGCTATTGCACTGTCTCCTTCCTTATCTTTTTCTTCCTTACTCATTCACTTCGCAGCATCACTTTAACGATTTACCATTTAACGGGTATTCAACCAAGTATTAAATGAAAATAATGCGGATTTATTATTTTGTACGAATACTTTTTTCACCCTCAAAAGTGAACATGTTGCATTGTTTTTTGTTGCATTGAGATTTAATTTCTTTTGATAGTATTTTTGAATACTATGCGTCTCTATACATAATTTAAATCACTTTTCCTGTTAAGTTTGCGTACTTACATACATTAAAATACGATTTTTCAAGTGTACGAATATTTATTTCCCCCCACTGTATATCTATATATATCTTACCACCTTTAACGATAGCTTAAGACTATCACACTCCATTTTACCATTTTTCATTAAAACAGGCACTTTTTCACCAGCAGAGTTAAAAACTGATGAGTTGAATCCCAAGGTTGAGTCGTTGTCATACGAGGAAAACTGAAGGATTGAACCCCAAGGAAGAGTCACTGGCCCGCAAATAAAAACTAAAGGGTTGAACCCCAGGTAAGATTCGTTATAATGCGAGGAACAACTGAAGGGTTACATCCCAGGGATAAACTCCTGCGCCTCTGAATAATTTTATTGAAATGAACCGCGACAACCGGGACGAGACGAGAAATTACCAGGAAAAAATAACGGCATATAGAGGATAATTAAAATTTGTCCCGAAATAAACGATATGAACCGGGAAAAGGCTTGTGTCCTGGACTTTAGAACTTTTGTCCCGATAATCATGAAACGATACGAGACAGATAGAAATGAGACTTGGTGCAACGAGACGAGACATGTCATATATATTCAAGGCAAAATAAGATATTCTTTACTACACGAAAACAAAACGAAAAATTCGATTATATTTGAGTATTCCTTTCGATGATATTGGTATTCCTTTCCTGCACGAAAGAAATACCAAGTTAGCCCATGATTGTCAATGTTCAGTTGCCAGTCATGGGCAGATTCGGCGACATTTGGCTGCCAAACTAATTTGGTAGTTATTTTAGTCGGCAAAATAGACGCTGTATGACTAAATATTATATTCGTGAATGGTGTTAGAAACATACAAGTTCAGGGCGCTTAATGGCATAATCACCACCGGTAGCCTATCGCAGAGAGAGTAATTAGTCCCAACCAAATGGAGAACGTACCATCTTATGTTCTCTAAACTTGTTTGTTTGACTTCTCGGTTAATCAATTTTACACCAAAGATTGTTCAAAAGCAGAATTTTTCATTGGCAGATGTCTCGTAAAAACCTGTTGACAAGAAGAAGGCTCACAACGTCAGCTACTGGCCGCTATACCACTATTAAGCCCAGAAGCAGGCATTACCTCTGTACACGAGGCCACTATTATGGTCATTAGTTTCGATTATTACTGTACTTTAGATCGAAAACGAAGAAACGGAAAATATGCATCTATTCCTATCTCAGAGTCTGGCTATTAATTAGATATGTTTTTAATTTCATTCATATCCGTTCTGAACAGAGGGACTTTTAAGCTGAGGGGTTGAACCCCAGGGCAGAGTCGTTGTACTGGGCAGAAAAAACTGAAGGGTTGAACCCTGAGGAAAAATCGTTGGTTGAACCCCAAGAAAAAAATCGTTGTCCTAGGTAGGGAAGAAGTGAAGGGTTGAACCCCGAGGAAAAAATCGTTGTCCTAGGCAGGGAAGAAGTGAAGGGTTGAACCCTGAGGAAAAATCGTTATCCTAGGCAGAGAAGCAGTGAAGGGTTGAACCCTGAGGAAAAATCGTTATCTTAGGCAGGGAAGAAGTGAAGGGTTGAACCCTGAGGAAAAATCGTTATCCTAGGCAGGGAAGGAGTGAAGGGTTGAACCCTGAGGAAAAATCGTTATCCTAGGCAGGGAAGAAGTGAAGGGATGAACCCTGAGGAAAAATCGTTGTCCTAGGCAGGGAAGAAGTGAAGGGATGAACCCTGAGGAAAAATCGTTGTCCTAGGCAGGGAAGGAGTGAAGGGTTGAACCCTGAGGAAAAATCGTTGTCCTAGGCAGGGAAGAAGTGAAGGGATGAACCCTGAGGAAAAATCGTTGTCCTAGGCAGGGCAGATGTGAAGGGATGAACCCCAGGGAAGAGTCGTTGTTGTAAGCAGAAAAAGCTGAAGGGTTGAACCCTGAGGAAAAATCGTTGTCCTAGGCAGCGCTGATGTGAAGGGATGAACCCCAGGGAAGAGTCGTTGTTGTAAGCAGAAAAAGCTGAAGGGTTGAACCCTGAGGAAAAATCGTTGTCCTAGGCAGCGCTGATGTGAAGGGATGAACCCCAGGGAAGAGTCGTTGTTGTAAGCAGAAAAAGCTGAAGGGTTGAACCCTGAGGAAAAATCGTTGTCCTAGGCAGGGCAGAAGTGAAGGGTTGGACCCCAGGGAAGAGTCGTTGTCCTGGGCAGGTCAGGCCAGGCGGAGGGGAGGGGCTGTGGCAGGGTATCATAACTCGCAGTACGTATAGCCTCCCCATCCTCGGTCAGGACAAAGAAGCCTTCGGTTTCAGTTAACTTGGGCTCGTGTTTTTTACGCAGTTCAGGTAGGCGCTTTAAATTTATTGAAAAAGGCTAACCAGAATTTTTTATTAATCAGTTTTATTATTTTATCACGCAAATTAATCCTCGATTTATCTCAACTGTTAAGCAAATTTAGGAAGTTTTTTTATATTTTTATGTTTTCCGCAGCATTTCATGTGATCTCTTTGAAAAATGTAAATCTAGCACTTGAATGTGATAATACACTCGATTAAAATCCTACTCTTTGTTTGAAGAGCATCTAAAAATATATTATGTTGATATTTTGAAGTTTAAGTCATGTAAAAACCGAGAGCTTATATGATTTGTTGTTATACTGAATACGGTAATGGAATTTTGATCCTTCCGTTAAACAGGATCAGCCTTGCATGCCGTTTGGGATTCACTGGGCATCGTTCAGCCGTCGACTTTTGAAGAAATTTATATCAGGAAATGTAAGTTAAAAATGGTGTTCAAAATGAGGAAAAATTTGGGAGTAAAGTGAATTTGGGATTACATTTTGGGAGCAAAGAATTTCAGAAAATGTTAGGGAAAGAGAGCGTTGAGAATCACAGTCTACCTGAGGAATGTTTACAAGTGAGCATGAAAGTGTGAGTGATAAACTAAATTGTAGAGTTTAGAAGACAATGCATGAGGTGAAAGCTTACTTGACGATTTAACATAAATAAAACGAAACTATTATTAGGGCTTTATTGTAAAAAATGATATGATATTTTGTCAAATAATAATTCGAAATAATGGAAACAGTTTTCTTCAATCCAGGAATCAGAATTTATATTTATCTTTGACTCATTTTACTCAGGAATTTAGATTAAAACCCAGAATAATACACTAAAATAATATAAATTTTATTTCTTAATCTATTAGCCACTTGATTCAAAAGTTTCACGAAGAAAACTTCACAAAAATTCACCAAATCTTCATATAAATGTTAAAAATGTCAAGCCCCGTTTTTTCATTAGACATGGTGAATTTTTAAATTTCAAGTACTTTTGTGATAGATCCAATCGAGTGACATTGATACTTGTATACAATCAAAATAAGGGAAACCACACTATCGAAAGCGATATTCAAGGCCAGCAATTCCTACATATATTTAACACGTCTATAATTAAGCGAGGCAGTGACCGCTACATGCACTGTCTCCAGATAGCATCGAATAATGCAGGGTCTTGCAATAAATACGTTTTTTATCCCAAGTATTTTTTTGCGAGCTCGAGATCAATTTATTGGTCGGGACTCTGCGAGAGACAGAGCCAGAGACTAGCATTTGTAAGGAATGGGTGATGTCGTAGTATATCTGGGGCTATCGCTGTTATAAATTTAATTGTATATTAATTAATAATAGTGAAATCATTCGTGTAGCTCGGTAAACTTTAGTAATATGGTGTACACACGAAATTTTATTAATAATTAAATTTAGACGTTCATGGTAAGAATATATTTTCATATATGAAAAGGAGTCTCAAGTTTTATTTGATCGTTATGCACTACTATTCCTTTGGTGTAGTTTGGCAGAAGTTTTTCTTTAATGCAAGTTTCATTGAAGACCAGAGACTATTTCTTATTAAAAATTTTCTTATTTTTTCTCTATTCGGCGTTCTCTATTATTTCTATTTCTCGGCGTCTATTTCTCTATTATTTTTCTCTATATTACTATTCCTTTGTATATACGCAAAAAGGATAGTTATATATCGACTGTAAGGTTTTCTTCTTCTCTAGCTGTGGATCCTTGTCTGCATTCCGCAGCTGAATCGAGGACAGAAATGCCGTGCAA